AAAAAAAAAATAAATATCAATTATAAAAAAGAGCTCGCGGTCTAAAAATTTCACGTTCGACGCACCTCCGCTGGCACTTAAAAACGTGTCCTTGCAGCGCGTTGCACGCAGGACTGCCAGTGCACGCACGGGCGCCACGTGTGTACTCGAAAGTGCGTGCGTATACGTTATGTATATATGTGCGTGCACGAGGATACGTTTGAAGCACGCATGGTCACGGTATTTGACCACCCCAGCTCCCAGAATGATTGTAATCCATCTATCCGGCCACCGAAGCCGATATATCAAACGCAGGTAGAGCTCGCGGTCCTCTCTCTTGTAGGCCTCTTTTGTATTGCCTTTTTACGCCGCGGCCCACGATCTTTTGTTTCCCCGTTGAATATTATACGAAGAAAAATTAATTATGAGAAATGCTCTTGTGTCGAGTCGCTTTGACGAACGTAAAAAAAAAAGAAGGAAACGCGCTCTTTTATGCCGGAATCATTTCTTTTGTTTTTTTAGTAAAAAAATATTTGCTAATTAAATTATTAACGGCAGTGCGTGTGCGCAAAATTAATAATAACGCTTTACGTTTTTAGGTTTCAGCATATAGTAAACTTTTTTTTTTCAGTATTTAACTGCGGGATAAGCTGAAAGCTAAAAATCCAGGAACTAAATTCAGAAAGAAATAATATTTAATTGGAAGAGGAATGCAGCGAGAAATGTTTGCTGCGTGATTTTGAAATATCAAACGTTTTGTCGCTTGAAACGAGTCTATATTTTTGCGAATTAAAAATAGTAATAAGAATTCGTATATATCACTGTTTGTAATTTTGGAATGATCCTCGCTGCTTTCTCTACTAAACCCTCGAAATCAGCGATTATTACTGGTATACGAGATTGTATCTGCTGCTTTCTAATCTTTAGCTCTACCATGTTTTGCACTTAGGAACGAGGTATCCGACACGACAGTCAGCAATAATTTACGTAACGTGATCGCAAACGCATCAATCCGCGGATTATCTGTCACAAAGAGAGAACCAATTATCGCTTGGGGATATCGCTGGTTCGATATTTCGATAAGCATGATTAGAATGTTGCAGATTAATATGGGTCGCGCCACATTTAATTCTGTTTCATATGATGACCGCCGAAAGATAGTGAATTATCGCGCGCGCTGAAACAGATAGTGAATCGCGTTAAATTTTGTTAAGTAGATTTACGAATTGTTATTAGTATACAATACCGCATATTATTATATTGATACAGATTAGAAGCCAGCGAGTGTTTCATAGAAATGTATTACACATATACAGAAACAGTCTCTCATAATGGCAGTCTTTAACAATTACAAAATGATTATATTATAATTATTTAATGTTCACAGGGTTTCACGAAATTTAAAATAACATTTAATCAGTTTTAACTACAAAAACTAATCTAATTATTTATCTGAGCAATAATAAAATCGCTTACGATCAGTAGAAAAAGATACCCCGACTAGATAAATAAAAAAAACTCGCAAAATGTAAAATATTAAAGATGAATGAAACAAATAAATCGAGTTCTCTCTTAATTTCGAGGTTTAAATTCGGGCTTTCGAATTTTCGGTCGTGAAATACAATGTAATAGAGATGACAGCAGTCAATTGCGGGGTTTGAAAAAAAAATTCCGAATGCGAAGGTATCGGATTTATATACCATTCAATTGCTTTCGAAAAATGCAGTTAAAATAAACAAATCTTGTATCTCCAAAAACACGGCGTATCGCTCGCAGCGCGAGCGGCAGCGTGATTTTTCATGATGCGAGCTGCTCGCGACTTAATGCGGCATTCGAAGAATTAATAAAGACGGACGGGAGAGAGAGACGAGCACTCAGTAATTTACGCGCATCGAACGCTGTCGTAGAAACCACGACGACGGGAGGATCTTCGTGCGAAATTGTCGCGAATTTTTTTGATGGGTCGAATTAGCCGAAACGAGAGGGGAAACGGCGGCGCTGTCGCTGACGTAAGATGTGTACGCCGAAAAGGACCACGCGTTCAATTGGCCAAACGTTAAAGACCGTCATAGCGACTCGGACTTACGTAAGCTCATTGCCGATGGACCGATCCCGACGCAATTCCGTCGCAGTTAGTTTCCGCGAGGCTCCAGAGTCTACGAGGATCCTGCGCTCGGTCAGTGCGATTAAGGTTATCGCCTTAACGGGAAACACACCAGCAGGAAACGCCGTCGCTGCGTATCTCCGTTACACCCGGTAGATAAGCTGATCCGTCGATAAACGCCTGCCGAACTGTCGTCGTACACGATGCGGCGCACGACGCGATTAATTATTCGCCGTTCCATTTTTACTGTACGAGAGAAGACACGTTGCTACGATTTTTTACGGGTCCGCTTAAATCGAGAACGAGCTTTGCGGAATATATATGCCGCCTTCTAGAATAGAACGCCTATCAAGCTAACAACACACTGGCGAGTCGTGGATATAAATTAGAATAAAGTTTATTTTATGCCACTTAAAAACTGTTTTGTTCAATTTTAGGATATATTTTCTTGTCGTTGCGACAAGTCGATAAAATTTAATCGATAATATAAATTTATTAATCGTCGAATAATTGAAAGCAAAGAAAAAAATACTTCATAAATCTTCTTAATTTATTCTTCAAACTTTTTGTTTCAATTTCACTTCTTCGAGTATTCCAGTCGCTCGTATTGTTTAATTCGGCAAAACTATCGCGCGAATACATCGTTCGAAATAAATCATTGCGCATTTAAATTCCCGATCGAATTAATAATCAATTCGCTGAGGATCTCTTGTTGCTCGAGCAAACGATTTCTCGCAGAACGGTGTTTCTAGCCCGAAAAATTTGCCGAGCCACATCTTTAGGCGTAATTCGGGATTCAACGGAAGACCGGGCGAATTTTCAAGCGCGACGAAAGCCGGATCGATGAGCGAGCCGAAATTCCTGATTTTACGACAAGAGCGTCGTAACCCCTCGCACGTCACGGCAGAGTTACCGCGATATCACTTGGGGCGTTAGCCGGATAAGCCGCTAACCCCATCCACCTGTTGCCCCTTCTTACACGCCGCCGCTTTCGGCCGCGCGTTCATCTTCATTCCTCGCGCGGAAACGAGCCGTGGACCCTCGTCTCGTCCTCTTTCAGTCCGTTCGGGCCCGCCGGGTCCGTTTGCTCCGCTCGTCTCTCTTCCGTCAACGACGCCCGGGTCCGCCTTTCCCTTCCTCTCTCGCTCTCTTCGGCACCTTCAGGCATCCCACTTCGCCGCCACCCCTCCTCCTCCCTCTTCTTCATCATCCTCTTCCTCTCGCTCACTCCCGTTCCAGGCCCGGGTTCTTCAGCGGTCTGACGTGTTTTTTGCGAGTGCATACCTCGAAGCAGCTCCCGAAACAGTAGCTGGTACCCCGGTACAGTCCGAGCAAGTGAAAAAATCGCCGGTCGATCGGTGGATCGTTGAAATCATTCATAGAGATATTCAAAATTAAAAGGAGGAAAGCGCTTTCTTCTCAATTGGGATTCAATAAAATCGCGTATTTTCGTTTCATCTCTTAATTTTAAAGCTGTTCGGGAACAAAGTATCCGTCGTTGCGATAAAGTTAAATTGAGATTTAACTCGTTCTGCAAAAGACGGTATAGTTTACGGTGAATTTACGCACGCAATTAATTATGTAATGTAATTTCCGAATAGAATAACGAGTCGCGCATAAAAAAATAAGACCGTTATCTTTGAGAAACAATTAACGCGGCAGCGGTCGATTTTTATTCAAGGTTGCGTCGCGATGCGTGAAAGTACTGATTAAATTCTATAATTTCGTAATTAAATAACGAAGTTAAATACCCGCGAAAAATCGCTGATTGCGAGTAAACACGAACGCGGCAGGAAGTCGCGAAGGATCACGCAGGGTTAAACGCCGCCTCGCATCTCGGCTCGTTCTGCCGTTTACGCTCGCTATTCCACGGAGGCGTCATCGACGATCCAGTTTCCGAACGACGAAAACCATCGCGGCCGCCGCGCGGTGCATTTCGCACATCGCCGGCGGCGGCGGCAGCGGCGGCGGCGGCGGCGGCGGCGGCGGCGGCGGCTGCGGTGGTGTAGGATTGTCGCATTCTGGGTCCAGTTGACCCCAGTTGACATCGTGGACGGCTTAGCCGTTAGTGTTAAGTTCAGTTCACTCATACATAAATCTAAGTCCGCGCTTATGCCTTAGCTTGGCCGCCGCTCGGAATTGAGCACGTGCTCAGATTTCATCGGCGACGACGCTTAGATCATCCCGGCTCGTTCGGCCATACCGAAACGTCGCAGATTCGACCGCATTTAGGCGACGCTCCCATCCGTGAATTGCCGTCGAAGGCTTTTTTAATCGTTACAGCTTGCTGCCAATCGCACATAGTTAATTCGCACATCGGAGATGATTTTGAAAAACAAAGTCTCGTCAATCATTTAAGTGTAACGAATACGTTTCGTCAAAAGTTTAAAGGCATTTCCTGTTATAAAAATCTATCGACATTGTCGTTTCATCTTATGTATTAATATTTAATATTCTAAATGTAGAAATTAAGGAACGAAGAGATAACTGATGTTAATGGTTCATAATTCTTTCATGCGCAGGATTATCCTATATTTTTATTTTTCTGTGAAAACTTGTATAATAATTGTCCCCGTAAAGACCTCATGCAACTCTTAGAAGCATGATATGCCAGGAAAATTTGTGTTCAGAGATTAAGGACGGCAAAGGATTTATATTACCCTGCGGCGATTACTGCACTCTCGCGAGATTATATACAAACGGGCGATGAAATAGTCATCAAAATAATTTACGTAACGTGCTCTTAGACGCAGAAAATATTTTCGCTTTGCAGTTTTGGATATTGTAGAAGCCAAAAAAGAACTTGCGTCGCCGAAGTAATAAGCGTAAAAATGTGCAAATCATGCTTCCCGGTATTAAACTTTCTTTTGCGTCTTTAAATGATAAAAAGATGTAAAAAGATTTTCTTATCGTACAAAATGCAGAGCTCATCGAATTATGCATTATCTTCTTATCTCCTCTTTTAATAATTGGAATAAATGAAATTAATTTTATCCACTCTTCTCTTCTTTAGTGATATTAAGGCGAACGAATTACGCACTCGAATCGTTTAAACGCGGTCACGCACGACGATGTTTTCCTAATCACACTGAAATCGTACTGATTGTCCGAAATAAATGTTCCCGCGATTACAGAGCCAAGCATTGGCATTGACACACAAGGCCTCGCCACCGTCGAGACCGAGCAGCGTGTCCTCGTTACCGAGGAGCCCTCAGTCTCAATCCCAGCAGTCTCAGCCGCAGAACACACCTCAACCGCCGCCGGTGCATCCGCTACAATCGCAGACACCTCTCAGCGCACCCCAGACACCGTTCTCCGCGCATAACCAGCACCCGAAGCAAGAAATCAACACCAGTCCCAAGCAGGAGGGCTTCGATCTCAGCAAATCCGCCTCCAGCACGGGTATTTCCCTTTCGTCCTTCTTTATTATACTATATATATATATATATATATATATATATATATATATATATATATATCACTTATTATATTAATTTAACAACTAAATTAATTATTAATGATCAAAATAAAATGAGAATGTGATGACTGAAATATCTAAAAATTAAGTAACATGTATAATAGTGCACTATTGATTTTTTATTTCGTCAAAGTTTTGAGCATTTTTGAAAATTGATTTCACTTTATGATGTGTGATAAATATATTAAACAACTGAGAACTTCTTATAAGGATATAAACATGTTGTGAAGTAGTACAAAGAAAAGCCTACAGCGATTAATCTGAACGAATGGCACTTGTGACTCTTGTAATTTGTACAATCACCCGGCCTACTTTTTCGCCTCTTCGCCGCCTTATCCCCACGAATGCACCTATGCACACCCCATTACCTCGGGCCGCGTCCCGGGTTTGACGATTTGCGGAGGGTTACAGCCGCGGCCGTAAATCGTAGATTCGGGCGAATTAAGTTACCTTTTACGAGAGATGGGTCCGTGTGAAAACAGCTTTAGCGTCTTTACAGCGCGAAACTCGGCCGGGATTACTAAGGTGACGATGGCGAAGGAAAATGCGGTAACGATGCACCGATGTCACATCCATTAATGCACTCCGCTGAACGGAAGCGGCGTTAATCGCCGTCACCGTCACGCGTCCGGCGAAGGTCGATATGGCTTTTGTGTATTAAATAAGAGAGCGACAGAGCGGGAGGAAACGATATGTTTAAAATTCGCAGTGATTTTTTCCTTTTTGCTTTCAACCTTCTTAATCACATTTAGAGTAACAATACTATTAATTATTAATATTTTTCTATTAAAAAAGCAGGATCGATGTACGTTTCTATAATTAAAGTATTATAAATAGTAGTACTTCATCACGATAATAGAAATAATGATAAAATGTTGTCACTATTTTTATCATAAAGAAATGTTGGCGTTCAGAAATGTTAAGCGAAAATTACAGAATTTGAAAATGTTTTTATTTCATTTGTAACACTTCAGGAACTCAGTTGCCACATCGCGCCATAAAGTCCGCTTCCGCCGAGAATGACGAAGACGTATATACTCGATGGAGGTCGCGAGAGAGGGGTCGTTAAAGCTCGTAAACGAGATAGACTATCGGCGGAATTTCCTTGATCCTCGATAATGCGGTGGAAACAATTTGCACGCGTCCGTTTGCAGCGAGAATTAAACGCTACATAAACGGAGAAGCGCGACATTTAGCTTTCTATCATGCTCGGCAAAATTGGCGAAAGGTTAAAGCTTAAAAGCAACGCCGAGAATTAAGCGCCCACATTGCAAACCTGTTTATATAACCTGCATCGTTGAATAAAATATTCGACAGTCGTCAACCCATTAATTATATTTTCTTCAAATGCAAAATATTGGATGGTTCTGTTTTAAAATAATTCGGAATAACGTCCGAAATTACGATTCAAAAAGTCACAAAGAAACAATATTTACAATTGTATTTAATTCTATTCAGCGATTTATGATAATTGTGTTATATATATTCTTTAAATGCTTTTCAAAACATAAATTTCTTTTCGATATATTGAATATGGAACGTTAGGCGGTATATCGCCTTTCTATATATTCCGCTTTCCCCGCAAAGTTTCTGGAAAGCGGGAGGAGTCCTGCGTGTGTAAATAAAGCCGAAGGAATGATTATATAATTGAACCCACGCGTCTAATCTGCCATCGTGTTGTCTGAAAACTTACGATTAAATCCATTTCTCCACCTTTTACTCGTACTTGTTTTCCTCTCAACGCCGCTGCGAAAAAGGAGAAATTGCTTCACGTCAAATTGTCAAACTGCACTTCCCCACGATTCTTTTCTCAAACTAACTTTCCGAAAAATCGGTTTAAGAATTCCTAAGAGAAAATTCTGTAGTCCACGGCGATACGGGAGCGGACAGAAATGCAGGGATCGAGAGTACATATTTGCCTTTCCTACGCGAGGGCGAAAGGGATGACGCAATGCGATGGCAGGGGGATGCGGGTGGACAGAAGCACGCACTTCCTAAATCTACGGATTTCGAAGATCCTTCTTAAATCCCCGTGCGTCACAGTTAATCCTTCCCCTTCCTTTCTGCCGCCCTTATCTGCTACTTTCCCGTCGGTTTTTTTTAAATCCTTCGAACTTCCAAAAGCACGACCTACTTATTCTTAAGCCATTGTCAGGCGACAATATACGTAACAAAATTTATTGCGCGCAAAAATAACATTGACATAAAAAAAAAACAGCAATAATAAATTATTATCGCACTGCTTGTTTTTGATGTTCATATTATTAATGGAAAGATCCACGTACGAAAAGCTGGAAAAATAAAATATCCCGAAAATAGAGCAGCTACGTATATGTTCGAGAAAACTTTTATATCAGTTTCTTTTTCTTTTTTTTTTTTTTTTCCCCCGTCGAAAAATGATTTTGCGTCGGTGCGTATCAAAGATGCGCTAGAAAGATGAGATCGTCCCCTTTCAGTCTGCAAGCCGTAAGCGTCAGCTCGGAATTAGGATAATCGTCCGCGTGTGTTCCGTCCGGATTTACCTGGACGTCTATATGCACGCATCCGTGTGCACGGACGGTGGGGACGGGAAGCGACGAGGTGCAGCCAGAGGGGAGGATATTGTGACCCTTACAAACTAATCCGGATTAAATTCGAATCCCTGGCTATGCGGCTAGGCGACCTGCGAACATCTACCATGGCGTCTTGCGCCATACGATCGGACTCGTTACGCCATTTAACCCTACGCGTACTCCACCCCCCTTTCCCCCCTCCCCCTCCCCGGTGAGAGCTTCCTTTGTGACCGACGCCCTTTGAGACTCTTATATATATATATATATTTTCGTTCTCGTCAATAGGCAGTGTAGAAAAATTCCTCGAACATCAGAGCCCTGATTTAATAATTTCCAAATTTGCGACGCGAAATACAGCCGAGAAATATGTTCGTGTGTAGCAGGAATTTACAATGAGTGTTTTTGGCCTATAAATTTAAAAACTGGAGCTTTGTATAAATGTAGCGTAGTTTAATCCAAACATATAACTATTTCTCGTTGAGCTGGAAGCACGGTTTTACAGATTGAAACTCATCTATGTAAAGCTCCCACTTATTTTAATTTTTGAAATTTTTTCTACTTTTAAAATAAAATGCCAGAAATATCACAAAATATAAATAGTGCAATAATAACATTTAACAAATTTTGTATTTAATTTTTTTTTTGCAGCATAAAATGGTTTTATAGATTGCAGAAATGTTCAATATAAACGCATGTTTGACTACAAAGAAACATTTTGTTTAGGAAATGCAGTTTAAATCATTGACAAGTGGTGGAATGGAAAATTATAATCAACATATTATAATAATACAAAATGCATACAAATCAAGAAAAATCCGTCATCTCTTTCATCTCTCAATTCAGGAATGATTCTCTCACAGGACGCCGTGTATATGTTCTAGCTTTCAACCTGACCACACGTTAAGCCAAAGGCAAAATCGATATCGTAACTCATGGAAAGCAATCGTGGGCCATATTGCGGATGGATATTTCTCATATGTATACAAATGTGTGTGTATATTCTTACGTCCAAGTTCTGTCTTACATTTTACCGAAATCTCGTAAGACATTACAAAATCTTGCTCTCAGGAAGAGCATCGACAAAGTGACCGGTTGGAATTATTGCTATCTGTATAACAGAAATGTTTGCGCTTTGAGCGCTACACCCGAGTAAAAAATTTTCTTTTAAAAATTAGCAAAAAGTATTTTATAATTTCATACAATCTTGCTCCGATTGCCTTGGAATTGTATACAAAATATTACATTATTTTTGTATTTAATAAATAATTTTATTCTCCAATCAACTCGGAGTCGATATTTTCTTATAGCAAAAGTTTGCTACTTTAGAAAAGATTGGGAGAAAAATCTAAATTTGAGGCACATATTCAACACGTATAAACATCACTTGAAATATGACATTGTAAAATTTGGAATTTTACTAATCCTTAAACTCTAAGTAATTCTAAGAAATCGGGTTAATTATTTGTCGCGAGAGACAGAATCTGGATAATGAAGATTGTAATTTAATTGCAGGTGCTACGAAGTTTCAAGACCACTTAAAAATCACTTAAACCTCTTGACTACTTGTCTAACTCGCACACGTGATGTCATTAGCGTTATAGATAATAGACACACATCCCGTCTACTTGACTTTTAATCTCAAAGTCTCGAATTTTAAAGCTAATATCCTCATATCTCTTCCATTCACTATTTTCACTTGTGCGTGACGTCATTGTTAGTATACGTAAATGAAGAATATTTTTTTGAAATAATGCAGCACACAAAATATGGACAATATTGATCGAGATTGATCGATTGATCGATTGATCATTGCATTTTGATAAGGTAACATTCTTGAAACGCAGCTTTTTCACATTTCCACATCCTCTTCAAGTTAACACCTTGCTGATAAATTCCATCAAATACAAACTAGATAAAGATATAAAAAGAAGAACGAGTCGAATCAGCTCGATAGAACGATAAAAGTTGGCGTTTTAATCGGACAGTAAAAATCACTAGGCCGGCGAACGCATACTTCCAGGTACACCCTGTAGACAACGCTTCGCGCTCTCGATGGAGCACACAGAATACGCCGAGTGAGGGAGGCGAGGTGAGGACGAGATGGCGGCGAGGGGGCGAAGGGGAAGGAGCGGGGGTTTAGGATTAGCTGAGTTGTGTGCGTTGGATTTTGGATTTGGACGGCGGGCGGCGGCGCACACACGACCAATAATCCCGGATTAATCCCGGGCTCACGTACACACGCGCACAGACGAGCGGGCGCAGAGCTCGCGCTGCCGCGCGAACGCGAGCGCATACGTGCAGTCCGGTCAAACCCGGTGACGCAAGTGCAACGTGTGCGTGTGTGCATGCACCCCTGCGCCCGACATACACAC